TCCATATTACTATATGGATCAGAAACCTGGCCGCTGCGCGCCGAGGACGTCAAAAGACTTTCAGTGTTTGACCATCGATGTCTTCGGAGCGTTGCCCGAATCTGGTGGGAACACTGGATCAGCAATGCTGAAGTACGTCGAATGGTATTCGGGAGAAATAATTCTTCCTCGATAGATGAACTGATCACACTCCACAGGTTGCGCTGGCTTGGCCACGTTCTGCGCATGCCAGGCGACCGATTTCCTCGAAGGGCTCTTTTCGCCCAACCATATAAAGGTGGAAGAGAGCCAGAGGCGGTCAAACAATGACTTGTTGGTGAAGTATGAAAGCCATTACCAGCAAACTCAACTGGCTGGTCATTGCCGTCTTCCTAGATGGGGACCCCGAGCCGAGCCCATCAATGGCCAATGCATATCTCCTTTTCCACACCCGCCCCCCTCTTGACAATCCATTGACAGTGCTGTGTGTACGCATCAGCTCCCGCCCGCAATGCGCAGCTACCTCCCCCTCCCACCAAATCATCGGTGAACGAAACTTCAGCAGCTACAACCCTTGTACGACGAGTACGCAGTTATTACAGCTGACAATGGTGATGATGATGGCCAGGCAGTCGGTATTTTTATCCATAAACGTAGCAGCCATGTTGTGGGTTTCGGATTAGAAAAGGCCGACTTTATGGTCCAGTTGACTGATTAACTTTTACCGCACCTGTTGACATACAGTTAGTTACATAAATAGTTGATATATACATTTTTCGCTTGCTTATCCAACTCTAGCTGAATCTGTATCATCCTATTTGGCACCGCCACTTGGTCGGATCGGCCCGTTCATGAAGAAGAAATCGAATCCGTGTACTTGTTCTTAAACCCAATAGACTTGGGAATTATAATAGGTGAAATCAGTTAGCAGAAGTAGCGTTTTCATCTTTACGTCGTGGAAACCACGGTCTGCTTATTGGAAAAACTGACTTGAAAACCCACTTTCGTCACACTCAGGAAATTCACGAGCCCTGCATATCTGATGTCGTGGAACCGTACAACGTTAGACATGGTGGAACTTTTCTCATCTATACCAATCTGATTTTAAATGTATTCTCCAATGGCATCGGATTTATCAACAAAATCCACCATACTGGTAAGAAAAAGTTCCAAAACTCCGTGTTTCTTGCAGTTAATCACGACGACGTTTAATTCACAGTTGGCGTTATCGATAGTAAATTTATTGAGTTGAATACTTCTGGTCGTTGTTGCGTATGTCTCATATTGAGTTAGAAGGGGTTGACGTAATCAACTCTCAGTTTGTTCTGCGCGCTCCGGATGTGCTCCGCGAATATGCCCTTCCGATACGTTTAAGTGCATAGTCTATGAGTTTACAAATGTACCTGACGTTCGTAGTGTCAGAACGCCGTATACCAGAAACCGTTCCGCTTAATATGCCCTTGTTGACGAATGAATAAATAACGGGTGACTAAGGTGCCTCCCAAAGTCAGCCTTGTTTCTTCAACCTCACTGGTTGTGTAGACTTCACTTCCGTACTTCAACTACAATCGGCCTTGACGTATGAACTCCTATACATGCCCCACATTCACTTTAATTTTGTTTCTGCGTCTGCAGCTGCCGATGTTCCTCCCCATCTTATACTTGATTGTCAACTTTGGCATTGGAATATTCTCCATCTACAACGCACCGCTCAACTCGCTGATTTGTCTCGGTCTGATGGCAATGGGTATACCACTTTACATAATCGGTATCGCGTGGAAAACCAAACCTCGTGTGATTGAGTCTGCTTCATGTAAGTTGGTCCACGACTATCCTTTTGCTTCGGTATGTTAAGCGTTTCACGGTGGAAGAGAGCCAGAGGCGGTCAAACAATGACTTGGTAGTGAAGTATGAAAGCCATTACCAGCAAACTCAACTGGCTGGTCATTGCCGTCTTCCTAGATGGGGACCCCGAGCCGAGCCACATCAATGGCTAGAGACATTGTCAGATATGTCCCAGTCGCGCCCTCAATGGCGCTCGTGCATCAAAGCTATTGCCTCCAATGCATATCTCCTTTTCCACACCCGCCCCCTCTTGACAATCCATTGACAGTGCTGTGTGTACGCATCAGCTCCCGCCCGCAATGCGCAGCTACCTCCCCCTCCCACCAAATCATCGGTGAACGAAACTTCAGCAGCTACAACCCTTGTACGACGAGTACGCAGTTATTACAGCTGACAATGGTGATGATGATGGCCAGGCAGTCGGTATTTTTATCCATAAACGTAGCAGCCATGTTGTGGGTTTCGGATTAGAAAAGGCCGACTTTATGGTCCAGTTGACTGATTAACTTTTACCGCACCTGTTGACATACAGTTAGTTACATAAATAGTTGATATATACATTTTTCGCTTGCTTATCCAACTCTAGCTGAATCTGTATCATCCTATTTGGCACCGCCACTTGGTCGGATCGGCCCGTTCATGAAGAAGAAATCGAATTACTTGTCTTGTTCTTAAACCCAATAGACTTGGGAATTATAATAGGTGAAATCAGTTAGCAGAAGTAGCGTTTTCATCTTTACGTCGACCACGGTCTTTATTGGAAAAACTGACTTGAAAACCCACTTTCGTCACACTCAGGAAATTCACGAGCCCTGCATATCTGATGTCGTGGAACCGTACAACGTTAGACATGGTGGAACTTTTCTCATCTATACCAATCTGATTTTAAATGTATTCTCCAATGGCATCGGATTTATCAACAAAATCCACCATACTGGTAAGAAAAAGTTCCAAAACTCCGTGTTTCTTGCAGTTAATCACGACGACGTTTAATTCACAGTTGGCGTTATCGATAGTAAATTTATTGAGTTGAATACTTCTGGTCGTTGTTGCGTATGTCTCATATTGAGTTAGAAGGGGTTGACGTAATCAACTCTCAGTTTGTTCTGCGCGCTCCGGATGTGCTCCGCGAATATGCCCTTCCGATACGTTTAAGTGCATAGTCTATGAGTTTACAAATGTACCTGACGTTCGTAGTGTCAGAACGCCGTATACCAGAAACCGTTCCGCTTAATATGCCCTTGTTGACGAATGAATAAATAACGGGTGACTAAGGTGCCTCCCAAAGTCAGCCTTGTTTCTTCAACCTCACTGGTTGTGTAGACTTCACTTCCGTACTTCAACTACAATCGGCCTTGACGTATGAACTCCTATACATGCCCCACATTCACTTTAATTTTGTTTCTGCGTCTGCAGCTGCCGATGTTCCTCCCCATCTTATACTTGATTGTCAACTTTGGCATTGGAATATTCTCCATCTACAACGCACCGCTCAACTCGCTGATTTGTCTCGGTCTGATGGCAATGGGTATACCACTTTACATAATCGGTATCGCGTGGAAAACCAAACCTCGTGTGATTGAGTCTGCTTCATGTAAGTTGGTCCACGACTATCCTTTTGCTTCGGTATGTTAAGCGTTTCACATGTCCATGTCTGGGTGTGCCCGTCAATATATAATCCGCTTGGTTGTAATCGTAATTGGCCTTTCCACCAGACATTCATTTGAGTGTGGGATGGTTCCTCGTGAAAACCTTAATCGACATCTTTTCAGAAGAGCTTGGTAAACAATCGGTAGTTTTTATTTGGTCAACGTTTCGCTTTTGACACAAAAGCTTCATCAGGCCACTTAATCGACATCATTCTGGAGATTTGAGACGTTGGTTTCCTTCAGAGAACAGACCCCATAGAACTGAAAAAATGCCATATGCTTCCCCTTTACAAATTGTAATATTACAGCAGAGGCATCATTTTATAACTCACGTATATATAAGATTACTGAACAACGGAATCATTCTTTTAAGACGAGATGTAAAATTCCATCCCACCCTCATAAACACTGTTGAGAAAATCAGGTAGAGTGAATGTCACTGCTAGATTTCAGAAAGTATGTGTCGCTATGACTATTGGTTGTCCTGTCTCGGAAGAAAATCTCCTTCATGGAAACGTTTTGGAGTTTCCCAAAGGTGTTCCCTCGAAAAATACGAGAGAACGTGAGAATATGAGTGAATTATATATGGACAGTTGGCATGTCGAATGCCTGGCTTGTGTTGGGTACCGTTTCCATGAAAATACCTAACCCGGTTACTCTAACCTACATAGAATGCACTTCTAACTCTACCTGGTCATCACCTTTCTCCTAACCTCTTCGCAACATCAGTGCATCACCCAAATACACACTGATGATATCTCCTTGTTTGGTGACAACAAGTTTGCAAGCTAACTATCAAGCTCGGCGAGCAGCCACCTTATCAACGACCGGTAAACGTACCTGAGCTACTGAAATTCCAAAATATTTCCAGGATCACATTTGATATTCATGGACACCCTTTTATAAGTGGAGCCTGAAAAGCCAACCAACACTGTACATAGGACAGTGTTTCTGCTCACTTGTTAGGAGCTCGAAACTATTTTATTCTACAGAATTTGTGACTAGCAACGCTCAGGTTGCCTGGTGAATTGACCATTTAAGGATATATTGCTCCCGTTATTGAGGGGCTTGATCAAGTCGCCATTTGTACGCAGCAGCTGAATAGCCTTTGCTTAAATAGCTGTTTTCAAGAGTGAGTTATGGTTCACATTTGGGTGCATTTTCCTTCTAAATTCGTTCGAACTATAGCGGGCAATGAACAATGGATGTTACTTGTGGCCAAAGTACCATGTCTTTCTCTCAAAACACATGCTGTTGGCGTTTTCCTTGTTTTTTTCGACTGTTTTGCTGGTTTTTTATCACTCGCCGGCTCATTTTCCCTTGAGCTGCTTGGTCGGTCGTTCTCAGCTATCCCCATGTGAAGGATATTATCTACAATGTACGAAAGTTGCTGTATTGAATATGCTTGCGATCAACGTTTCTATAGTGGCTCATATTTACCCGCTGTTGTGTAACTTAATAGACATACGGTTCTAGTTGACATCAAGGTGCTTTATAGTCCACCGTATTTTTTGACGGTGTGCTTCTAAATTACATCCCCAGCTATTCAAGATTTGCGTAACGCTTTACATTTGAGTGGTGTAAGGTTATCGACCTATCGAAATGGTTGTTTGACTATCCTGCATGGGATGCCGTTCCTATAGTGACTTCATTTAAGCGGCGCATCTAATTACTTCGAAAAGATTGGCAAGGATGATCTTTCGCAAGCTGGGAGGCAGGATCTTAATTCCTTCTGCATGTCCGCTCGGCTTTTGTTTAGTTTAAAGGTTCAAACTTTGCTACTATCACTGTGCGTGTCCCGTAAAAAGTAATATGAAGAAATCACAGCCATATGCGTTTTCTGGTCCTCGGGACGAGAGCCCAACTTCCCTCAACTGTTGCAACTGTTGCTCACCTTATCAGTGTGTTACCCAGCTTGTGATTGATTTACAATGTCGGTGTGCAGTCTGAAAAGCGCTTGACCTACGCATGTATCTGGTGAAAACAACAAGCGAACTTTTCTGTGAAATCAAGAGTTTCACATCAACAGAGTCTTTTCAACTGGCTTGAATTATCCGGACTTCATCGTTGAGGGGTAGGGAAGCCCTCTTTCTCATGATATGGTTAAGTGGCCGATACAGTTACGTTAACTCTCATACATCCGGGCTATCATGGAGCGGTCCAACTCAAATTATTTCAAATGTTGTCAGCGTTAACCAGAACAGCTAGATCAACTGGCGCTCCAAAATTCACTTACTGATGTGGATTGTTTCCAGCAATCGCTTGGGCCACGCTGAGTTACGCGCAAAACCCCGAAAGTCAAATCTTTCAACTGGAGGTTTAGCAACCAATTCGATATTATAAAGACAATGATAAAATAATAACATTTTACACACCTCAAATCGTGAGACTACACCGGCTTCTATACACCGGTTTGGGAAATTGCTTATTCCTAACCCCCAAAAAC